TTGGCAAGCTGTGCTACAAATTATTGCCACTACAAAGCTGATCACAATACCTCTTAAGCCGCAATATTGTCTACTGGATCTAGTTGAATCATTAGGTAACATGGTAGCTGGGTGAACTCTTCTGAGTCTTCTGTTATTCTATGCCTGTAAGGCAATTACAGTATGCTGGAGACAAACCTCTCCCCCATGGTGAAATTCTAGATGCATTTAATAAATTCAGATCTGTTCTTATACCAAGCTACATACACTAATAGGGGGTGTCCCCACAATTGTCAGAGGGTATGGTCTTGCTGGTCAGATAACCCCTCCACCGCTACAACAGGGGGATGATAACTCCACTTAAAAGTCTATGTATATGTTAACCTTGTCATGTGCTGGTTACCCAGTGGGTCCTACATCCTCTGAGGATTGCTTGAGCCTTGCACTATAAGGGATATACCCTTTCTCTTTGTTTTTTCCCTTTTTCTTTTTTATGTTCTTTTTATGTAATTTGTTTTTCTTTTTGAAATTTGTACAATGGGCCAAAAACAGTTTTGGGTCTTCTTCAGGGCATTTGTTTCACTTGAATGGGCTGCCCTATGGGTAATGAGTGGAAATGCTCCAACACGCGCAAAAGAAAACGTGAACGGGAACTCGTTACATTATGCTCAGATGTGAACCCAGCTGTAAGAATTGTTTCATGGCAGGAGTGCTGCAATGTCAAGCCTGCAGGGCAATACCTAAAGTGAGGGTTGAAACATTACACTTGAATTTTCAGACCACTCTCGTAGCACTGGGAACCTCTGGGGCTGCAGATATATCCAGGGCACCCAAGCTATGCCCTAGAGCACTCAGTCAGGGGAATTCAAAATAGCCCTAAGGGCACTTTTCTGTTGGTAGTTCGCTTAAGAACTATTTGCACCTAATTCAGGCGATTATTTGCTCCTATGTTGGTAACAATATATGGTTGAACTGGATGGACTTTTGTCTTTTTTTCAGCCAGACTAACTATGTAACATTACAGACCCATGTGGCAAATGCAGGCACTTCTTACTACCACCACTTTGAGAATACTGCAATGACAGAGAGAAATTCTTACACAATTACTGACAGTTCTTAAATTAGGAAACTGAAGGTAATTGAGACCAACTCTAAGCTGGTGTACAGAGGTACATCAGTACACAGAGCAAGCCATACTTGTGTTGGGAAGTTGTTATGACAGCTTCCCACACAGTGCTGTATCCCAGGACCCGTTCAGTTGTTGGCTGGGAGAATCCAAGCAAAAAGCTATAATAAATGTAAAATGGGGGATAAAAATGATGCCATTACCCAGATATTAGCAATGACCATATTTAGGAAAACACTTGTCACTGGGTGTGCTTGATGGGACACTGAGAGACTAGCTCCCCTTCTGGTGTGCTTTACTTTTGATTGACAGACCATTACAGTGGGCAGGTTCAAAAGTCGCTATTAATTACTTGTCCTCCAGAGGATTTACCCCCCCCCCCCCCTTCCTGACCATTTTTCCTGAGGTAATTTTTTGCAATACGGCACTGCAATACTTTATCTGACAATTGCGCGGTCCTGCACATTGTACATAAATGAAAGTTATGTCCTTTTTCTTTCTTTCTTTCTTTCAGTGGTATTTGGTTACCTCTGTTTTTTATTTTTTTGTTCTATAAACAAAAAAAGACCGACAATTTTGAAAAAAAAATATATATTTTTGACTTTGCTATAAAACATATCCAATAAAAAAAAAATGTTAAAAATCTAATTTCTTCATAAATTTAGGCCAAAATGTTTTTGTGCTAAAAAAAAAAAAAACCCAAATACCTGTAAATTAATTGGTTTACGTGAAGGTTATAGCGTCTACAAATGGCGGTATATATACTGGAATTTATATTTATGTTTATACTAGTAATGACGGTGATCAGTGACTTATAGCTATGGGACGGGCATTCTGACACTAGGGTGGGAGCAGACTAACTGCCACTGACATCCCCAGTGACACTAGTACAGTGATCAGTGCTAATAAAAAGCATTGACACTGTACTAATGACACTGGGCAGGAAGGGGTTAACATATGGGGCAATCAAAGGGTTAACCGTGTGCTGTGTGTTGTGTGTTTTACATTATGTGCTGTGTTTTACTAGGGAGACATGCTGCTTTGTATTTCTGTGCTGTGCAGAGAAATACAAAGCAGCATGTCCTTGCTGAAAGAAAGAGACCTGTGTTTACACACAGGTCTCTCCCCTATCAGCTTTCCTGGACGATTGCCAAGTGCTGGCCGAAAAAAACCTTTTCCGGGACCAGTGATTAACATCCCTACCCGCCAATAGTAGCACAGGTAGGGCGGCTTGAGGCCCCCCACCTGGAAATGCAAATCATATATATATATATACACAGTATATATATATATATATACACGTGATTTTGTGCAGCCCTGCCACCCTGTAGCAGTACTTCTGCAATAGGGCAGCAGGCAAGCGGTTAAATAGCGACTATGATTCCACCCACTGTCTTGTCCTTTTAATCAAAGGTAAGCTGGACCTGATGGGGATCTAGTCTCTCAGTTCCCTCTCAGGCTCCACCCACCCACCCAGGGTCATGTACAGGGGCGGACTGACCATTCGAGCACTCAGGCACTGCCTGAGGGCCCGGGTCAGTAGGGGGCCCCATGAGATGACCCTGATAACTTTCATAGGCTTTTTTTGGGTGTGGTTTGAGTGTTGGCAAGGACACAGGGGCCCCATGATTTCCTATTGACCAGGGGGACCTATGAGTTGTCAGTCCACCCCTGGACATGTACCTATCAGTGTCATGGACTCAGTAGCCAGGAAGGTTGAGCGGGAGTGAGTCCAGTCTGGACACTCCTTCCTCAGTGCAGACACAGACAATATCATGTACCTGTCTGTGACAGGTGCATGAATTGGGTGCAAGCACTGCCACTTCCTGTGCTGTGCCCCATCAGAATTCTAAAGGGTGTTGAAGACACCCTTTATGAATTCCTCTGAGTATGTTCTGTGAGCCAGAGTATCTGAACTATCTGCAGACACAAATGTAACCTTATCATCTCACATCTCAACTCATGAGGCCTAACACATCCTTCTCTAGGAGTTCAGTCATTTCTGAGCATGTTCACATGTTCGCACAAACAAAACTGCTTTAGCATATGCCTGAAGAAGCATCTCAATGTTATGCTATGTACCCATGCAGGGCTGTGGAAAAGGGGGTACTACCAGTCCTCCTGTAGGGGGTCCAGGCTAGCAGGGGAGCCTAGGCAGCTGGATGAATCAGATTTAAGCAGGGAGAGTGATTGGAACAGTGGAGGGGCAATTACTGGAACCGATCCCCTGTATGGCTCTCTCTGCAACAGCTGAAAGCTGACTTCTTATCCTCTCCCTCCTGTTGACTTTCAGCTGCTGCAGAGAGAGCCGTACAGGGGATTGGTTCCAGTAATTGCCCCACATCATCCTCCTTGTGCACCATATATTTCCCCCTGCTGCTCAGGCCCCCCCCCCCCTGTGTGCCCCCACCCCCACAGTGCTGCTGGCTACCCTCCTTTCCTTCCCACTAAGACAATAGGATCCTTCAGAATGGAGAGTGGGGGAAGGTTCCATTAAATATGTCACACTTACCAGCCCTTCCTTTCCTGAATGAGCATAATGAGCAATCAGTACCGATCACTCGCTGTGCTCATTCATACCTGAAATATAGTAAACTCTGTTTTTTGTTGGGGGGGGGGGCTGGTAGGTTGGCTGTATGGGGCCCTGTGGTTTTTTAACAGCAGCCCTGTGCCCATGAACATTAGAGGCATATTTTAAGCTCAAGAGTTCAGAGGCAGAAAAAAAAAAACTCTTCTGTTTTACATTTTTGAGAGTAGATTTCTTGCAGAAAAAAAATCTGAATGCTCCTAAACTCTCCTAAAAGCTCCTAAACTCCTGTACAAAAACTCCTATATGAGCATTTTTTTTCTACCAAGGGAACTGGCATTTTTTTAAGCTCAGTGTACATGGAGTCTTAGGCTCGGTTCACACTGTCTCAACTTTGGATCTGACTTGTGAGACCCCAAGTCCCATGACACGTGAAATCCCATGTTAATCAAAGAGACCTGTCTTAATTAGCACTACTAAAGTCGCTCCAACTTTAGAAAAGGTTCCTGTACTACTTCAAGGTGACTTCTATCCAACGTGTGCCCATGGACTTTAATAGAAGTCACCTCCAAGTCAGATCCTCATCTCTATTGATGTGATTTGGATCTGACATTATAGGAAGGTTACCTGGGCATTCCCTGAAATGTGCAATAGGCTGACGCGTTTCGAGGACTTGCCTCTTCCTCAGAGCCAAGTGACCAAATGTCTGCTCCCTCTTTTTAATGCTCACTACTAGTTGAACCAAAGGTCACATGGGCCTTCCTGGACACTCCCCTCGACAAGTCCTGGAAACGCGTCAGCCTATTGGAGGTCTACACTCCCTATTGCGGACTGTTACTCAGCGCGGTGTTGACTAAGCTCTTCTTTATGATGTGCCTTGACTTTATTGTCGTTTGTGAGTACAACACCTACTTTATTTCTTATTAAACATTTTTTATGATAATGCACTAGGCCTGTGCGCCCTCTGTTTGTTCTTTCCTCATTCAGTATATTTTGATTTCCCCGGTCTATTTGAGGGCAGCAAGGTGTGCATGTTCCAGGACATTCTTAATGTTGTTGTAGCTTGCATCGAGTCCATTCCCAAACGCAGGAGCATTCGTGTTTGCTGGTTCTTTGTATTCCCTGAAATGTGCTTTAAAGTCACTTCAAAGTAGTACTCAAATCGCTGGCAAAGTCACACTGTAAGTCGAACGGCTTTCAGGTCACAGTACTGTGAACCAAGACTTAAGGTGCCCACTTATACACTATTTGTACACAATTGTTAACCATGTCCGCACCGCCCTATAGCAGAAATACTGCTACAGGGTGGCACGGGTGCGCAAAATCGCGTATATATATGTGTGTGATTTTGCAGTTCTGGTTAGGGGGTGCGCGCCGCCATTTGCAGCCTTGGCTATAAATCACCATCCCGGCTGGCACCCGTTGATCGCCGAGTATTACTGATGGGGGAGAGACCTGTGTATAAACAACACAGATCTCTCCCCTGTAAGCTCCTCCACACTGCTTTGTATGGCTCTGCATAGCAGAGCCATACAAAGCAGTGTGCTTACAGTGGAAAGCACACACAGCACATAGTAAAACAGCACACAGTTAACGTTTTGATCACCCCACATGTTAACCCCTTCCTGCCCAGTGCCATTAGTACAGTGCCAGTGCTTTTTATTAGCACTGATAACTGTATTGGTGTCACTGGGGATGTCAGTGACACCAAGTCTGTTCCCCCCAGTGTCAGAATGCCCGCCGCTTTCCTGCTATAAGTCGCTGATCACCGCCATTACTAGTAAAAAAAAAGGAAAAAATTCCAGAATCTATAATGCCATTTTAAACGCTATAACTTTCATATAAACCAATTAATTTACACATATTGGGATTTTTTTTAGCAAAGACATGTAGCGACATGTAGCGACATGTAGCAGAATACATTTTGTCCTAAATTTATGACGAAATTTGATTTTTTAAATTTTTTTACTGCACATGTTTAATAGCACAAAGTCAAAAATACTGTTTCTTTTCTCAAAATTGTCGATTTTTTTGGTTTATAGCACAAAAAATAAAAAACACACAGGTGATCAAATACCACTGAAATAAATCTGGGTGCAGTATTGCATGACCGTGCAATTGTCAATTAAAATAATGCAGCGGCGTATCGCAAAAATGGCCTGGTCAGGAAGCGGGGTAAATCCTCTGGCGGGCAAGTGGTTAAAATACAAACATTTATTTTTATTTTATTGTTATTTTATTATTTAAACATTAAAATATGTAGAACACATCACGGAAACATTTACTTCTAAACACAGACATATAAAGAATGTTTCACTGTGTATCGTAATTTCACCGCCGTATACTTATTGACACTTGGGAGTTGATTTACTAAAACTGGAGAATACAAAAATCTGGTGCAGCTGTGCATAGAAACCAATTTTATTTTTTCTTTTGTCAAACAAGTTGAATGGCTACCATGCACAGTTGGACCACATTTTGCACTCTCCGGTTTTAGTATATTAACCCCATGTCTTCTTTCTTTCTTGATTATGTAGATGTTCAAGAGGACTTTTGGTGAGAAGTTCCACGATTTTTCACAACACATTTTGTGGATACCAGAAACCCCACTTCAGGTGCTGTGAAACTGTGAAAATCAGTATTTACTTCAACACTATAATTTTTAAATACATACAGTGGGGCAAAAAAGTATTTAGTCAGCCATCAATTGTGCAAGTTCTCCCATTTAAAAAGATGAGAGAGACCTGTAATTGGCATCATAGGTAGACCTCAAATATGAGAGACAAAATGAGAAAAAAAATCCAGACAATCACATTGGCTGATTTGGAAAGAATTTATTTGCAAATTATGGAGGAAAATAAGTATTTGGTCACCTAAAAACAAGCAAGATTTCTGGCTCTCACAGACCTGTACCTTCTTCTTTAAGAGGCTCCTCTGTCCTGCACTCATTACCTGTATCAATGGCACCTGTTTTAACTTGTTATCAGTATAAAAGACACCTGTCCACAACCTCAAACAGTCACACTCCAAACTCCACTATGGTGAAGACCAAAGAGCTGCCAAAGGGCACCAGAAACAAAATTGTAGACCTGCACCAGGCTGGGAAGACTGAATCTGCAATAGGCAAGCAGCTTGGTGTGAACAAATCAACTGTGGGAGCAATAATTAGAAAATGGAAGACATACAAGGCCACTGATAACACTGTTCAACAGGTAAAAAGTTTTGGGCATAAAATTAGCTAATCTTACATAATTTTGGGGTGCTGAAAACGAAAATGACCCTAAAAAAATGTTGATTGGCTCTAGTTTCCATGATATATTCACCCATCTAATGACGTAAGCCATTCAAAATTATGATGCAACTTCAGCTGCATATTGCGCAATTGATACTGGTGACCAATAGAAAATTGCATGTATACTGAGATGATGCAATATTAGCCTTTAATTGCATCACTTCACTGCATAAAAGCTGCAGTATCTGTAGCTGATTGTAGTTCAACAGCGTCTTTACATTTCGTTTTATGCTTATATAGGCTACTCAGTAATGCCTCGAACTTGTGTGAATAAAGCAGATAATTTCTGCTATAACTGCGGTGAAATAACTTTTATCTCACAAAAAAGGAGGATAACAGGAATGATTAAGAAAGCCTACAACTTGTATTTTGGCTGCAAGATAGGAGACCAGGACAAGAGCTGGGCACCACATATATGCTACAATTCTTGTGGGACGGCACTGGAGCAATGGTTGAATGGAAAAAAGGCATCTATGCCTTTTGCTGTGCCAATGATTTGGAGAGAGCCAACAGATCATGTTAGTAATTGTTACTTTTGTATGGTGCCTCCAATTGTAAAAGGGCTAAATAAGAAGAAAAAGTTATCTGTGCACTATCCAAATATTCCATCGGCAATACGTCCAGTTCCTCATGGAGAGGGGCTACCAATTCCTAAAGCACCAGAATCCTTTGTGGTTGAGTCAAGTGAGGAAGAACCTGAAGCGTGTAGTCACGTGCAGTTGTAAGAGATAGCCCTTTCCTCGAATACAAGAGAAAAGCCAAGAGAAGCAAAACCGACACAAACTGAAGACAAAACTAGTGAGAATCCTAAGTATTAAAATGATTCAACTTAGCTTATGGCTATAATTTTTCTTGGTAATCCTATGCAATATATTATGCCATTTAGGCTTTGTTATGTAGTCAATATCACTTGCTTTATATTTGTGGAAGACATCTATCTATATAATTGTTGTGCATTATGTAGTCATTACGCCTATAGTAGAAAACTTTCCGTTTACAGAAACACTAGAGCCAATTGACAAATTTCATTGTTATATTTGAACTCAGAATATGAAATTCATTAGAAATGGATCCTTTTGTTTCCAAAACTGGCAAAAAATAAAAATTTGTTGAACAGTGTAATCTCCCTCGATCTGGGGCTCCACGCAAGATCTCACCCCGTGGGGTCAAAATGATCACAAGAACGGTGAGCAAAAATCCCAGGACCACACGGGGGGACCTAGTGAATGACTGCAGAGAGCTGGGACCAACGTAACAAAGGCTACCATCAGTAACACACTACGCCGCCAGGGACTCAGATCCTGCAGTGCCAGACGTGTCCCCCTGCTTCAGCCAGTACATGTCCGGGCCCGTCTGAAGTTTGCTAGAGAGCATTGTGATGATCCAGAAGAGGATTGGGAGAATGTCATATGGTCAGATGAAACCAAAATAGAACTGTTTGGTAGAAACACAACTCGTCGTGTTTGGAGGAGAGAGAATGCTGAGTTGCATCCAAAGAACATCATACCTACTGTGAAGCTTGGGGGTGGCAACATCATGCTTTGGGGCTGTTTCTCCGCAAAGGGACCAGGACGACTGATCCATGTACAGGACAGAATGAATGGGCCATGTATCGTGAGATTTTGAGTGCAAACCTCCTTCCATCAGCAAGGGCATTGAAGATGAAACGTGGCTGGGTCTTCCAACACGACAATGATCCCAAACATACTGCCCGGGCAACGAAGGAGTGGCTTCGTAAGAAGAATTTCAAGGTCCTGGAGTGGCCTAGCCAGTCTCCAGATCTCAACCCCATAGAAAACCTTTGGAGGGAGTTGAAAGTCTGTGTTGCCCAGCGACAGCCTCAAAACATCACTGCTCTAGAGGAGATCTGCATGGAAGAATGGGCCAACATACCAGCAACAGTGTGTGCCAACCTTGTGAAGACTTACAGGAAACATTTGACCTCTGTCATTGCCAACAAAGGATATATAACAAAGTATTGAGATGAACTTTTGATATTGACCAAATACTTATTTTCCACCATAATTTGCAAATAAATTCTTTCCAAATCAGCCAATGTGATTGTCTGGATTTTTTTTTCTCATTTTGTCTCTCATAGTTGAGGTCTACCTATGATGCCAATTACAGGGCCTCTCTCATCTTTTTAAGTGAGAGAATTTGCACAATTGGTGGCTGACCAAATACTTTTTTGCCCCACTGTAACCATCCAAACATTGTATTAACTATAAGTCATGGAATTCTATTAGATATGGAAGGCCTGAGGAACAACAAATCGCACCAATACTCCCCTGGGAGGAGAACCATGGAGAGACTAGGAAAAAGTGAGTTATTATATTAATTCACCTTTATCAAGAAAATAAAGAAATATTACAATTTCTCATTCAAAAATTATTTCAGTAATTACTCAAAACGTTTGGGGTATGTAATAACAGGAATGGCTTTATTTCTGTAACCAGTTTATGTAACCAAAGAAGCCAAGTGCCAATGTTTATAGGAGGGAGAAACTATGATACATTGTAAAACAGGGCTCAACAATTCCCAGGCGCCAAGTCAACATGATAACCAAAAACCCCATCCTGGCACCTGATGATATACATATGGCACCTGGGCCCTTGTAAGCCCCACACTGCCCATGCTCCGCCACCCCGCATCCTTGGCTGGCTCCTCTCTCCCCGCCGCACAGAGTGGAGCCCAGCCTAGTGTTCCTGGACTGGAGTTTCCCTAATCCCTCCCTGAGTCCAGGCGAGGCGCAGAGTCCAGGCAGAGTCCTGGACAGCCCCACAAAAAGTTGCACTAACCCCGGAGGATGCCACAGGTCCGCCGCCCACCACACAACCACCCCTGTCAGAGAGCCCATGGAGCGGAGGACATGGCCTCTGTCACTAGTCTCCCCATCCACACCACTGGATGAGTGCTCGGAGGGTAGCCGGACACACATCGGATGCCGCCTTCAACTGCAGCAGCTCTCCCCACTGGAGGACTGGAGTAAGTGGGGCCACCGAGTCCCACCACCTGGGTGACAGCACATAGCCCCACCTCCAGCACAGCGCTGACCCCAATCGACCCACAACAAAAAGGCTACCCTTCCTGGCACCAGATCCTCTCCATTGACACCATCTGGAGGAGCCATGGCTGGACAGGTGAGAACAGTCCTGCTACCCCTTTCCTGTGACGCTGCCCCCCTCCTGTCCTGCTGTCCCCTTCCTGTCCCGCTGCCCACCACCTATCTCCCTGTCCCCCCTCCTGTTTTGCTGCCCTCACCTCTCTCACTGCCCACTCCTGTGACACTGGCCCCCACCTAGCCAGCTGCCCTCCCTTCTTTGACACTGCCCTTTGCCTGTCTTCCCGTCCCTCCCCTCTGCTGTGATGCTGCCCCCCTTCTGTCCCACTGCTCCCCTCCTGTGACTCTGCCCACCACCTGTCCCACTGCCCACTACCTGTCCTGCTGCCCCCCCCACCTGTCCCACTGCCTTCCTCCTGCAATGTTGCCTCCCACCTGTGTCGCTGCTCCACACTTGTCTCCCTGCCCCCTCCTGTGATGCTGCCCCCCACCCCTCCTGTGATGCTGCCCCCACCTATCCTGCTGCCCTCTTCTGTGATGTTGCCCCCCATCTATCACTTTGCCCCACACCTGTCCCACTGCTCCTCTCCTATGATGCTGCCCCCCTCCTGTGACCCTGCCCCCTCTTGTTCTGCTACCCTCCCACCTGGATCCTAACTTTTTTACTTGGCTTCTAGAATAGAAAAAAAAAATTGTCAAGCCCTGCTGTAAAACCTTCTTTATATGCATGCATTTATAAGTGAATGTTTTTGAAAATTTTTGTACATTTAAAATTTTTTTATGGCATTAATAAATGTTTGTATTTTAACAAATTGTGTACAAATAGTGTATGAATGAGCACCTTAAAAGTCCTATTTTTTTGTAACGTTTGTGCAATAATTAATTAATAATAATAATAATAATAATAATTACGTAGGGATGGTAAGTAACCAAGGTGCTTTATATAAAAATGTTCACATGCTTGACCGATAGCACTGTTCAAAGCAGGGGTGCAAAATGGAATGAAATGGTTCAGAATTTATTTTTTTATTTTGAATAGCATAATGAACATTTTCCACCTGCAGCTGCTGAATGCCAGCGAGAGGAAAAGGAGGAGAAGTAAAAAAGTAAAAAGTAAAACAGAATGTCACAGGGAGGCAGTACGGGCCCTCCTCGAAAATGGGTTGGGGTTGCCATATCGACGAGATCTTTCTGTCCTGAGGCTGCTTTGATACTGATGCTCTTCGGTTTACCTGCAACACGCGTGTAGTGCAGTACACCTGCAAAAGTGCAGTATATGTGTTTTCAATACAGTGACATTCTTTTCCTCTTCCATCTTCTGCTGTCATTGCTCTGCGTCTCCAGACTACTAGAAAGATATCCCGAGTGATCCACTTGGTATCACTCTACCTGGGATAGGAGCCAGCACTACAGAGGAAGCATTGGCTTATGCAGCTCCTGTTCCCTCCACAGGTGGCGCTAGCTTGATACACTTTAATTATGGTTGCACTGGTATCAATGCCGATACTAAGCATTTGCACGAGTATCGGTACTGGTGCAAATGATCCAATACCTGAAACTGATACCTTCAGGCTCAGTTCTGCGTAAATAAAAAAAAAAGCTGGCAATTACTGTTTTTTAAGGAGGGGGGGGGGGGCACCGTGTCCTTAACAACCGATGACTCATTGTCAGTGGGGTTCCCCTGCTGTCAGCTGAAGTGAAAACAAGTCCTGGCAATTGTCAAAAAAAAGCAGGCTGATAATATTTAGTAACAACATTGCTCAGCCCCTAAACAGAAACATAAAAAGAAACATTGTTTCATTTTGTATCTTGCTGTTTATTCATCTACAGATCAAAGGGACAAATTTCATCTGCACATGAAGTCAGTTAAAAGTAACCTGTCAAGTAAAAAAAAGCTGTGAATTTTTTTAAAATTAAATGTTCCTCTGTTTAACCCCTAATTAACCCTTAATTTACTCAAATCAGCCCCAAAAGGGAATGTCAGCCTCTTCTTTCCCTCCACTGCCACTTTTGGCACTTTTTTTGGGGGAAGGGGGGAGCGGGTACCTGGTTTTGATAAGTACCCACTACCACTTCCAGCTAAGCTCGCTGAGGTGAACTGAGCTGGACGTTCGGCCCCCCTCCTTTCCCCCAAAGTCTTCTCAGACACTTCAGGAATCAATCTCAAGGTGCATGTACAGGAGGAAAGTGGCTGTGAAGCCACCTCCAGTTTCCCTCACCTACAATGCCGGTGCTAGGATCCCGGAGGCTAGTAAAGAACTAGCCCGGGTAACGACGGCACTGGACCCCTGGACTGGTAAGTGTCCTTATTAAATTATATTAAATTAAAAGTCAGCAGCTAAAGTATTTCTAGCTGCTGACTTTGACTTTTTTGGGAGCAGCTTGGAACTCCTCTTTAACTCCTTATTTTCCTGCATTTAATTGTTTTCCTGCTGATTTTTTTGTTCATTTATTTTTTAAAAACTATTAATAATAAAAACTTTTTTTGTTTGCTTTGTTTGTTAATACGTTTACACTTTTAACATACATACTGCATACATGTTTCAATAAATTTATTTCATTTGTAAACAACTTTTCAACGCTTTGTGCCAGAATCAAAATTTTAGTGTCATTCTAAACAGTATAAATTACCTAATAATTCTTTTTTATTTGCAGTAACACTATTTATTTTTAACCACTTGCCCCCCCCCCCCCCCCCCCCCCTCCTGACCACGCCATTTTTGCAATACGGCGTGGTGTTACTTTAATTGACAACTGTGTGATTATGCAATGCTACATCCAAATTAAATTTATGTCCTTTTTTCTCACAAATATAGCTTTCTTTCAGTGGTATTTGATTGCCTGTGCGTTTTTAATTTTTTGCGTTATAAAAAAAAAAAGACTGACAATTGTGAAAAAAAACATATTTTTGACTTTTTGCAATTAAACATGTCCAGTAAAAATATTTAAAAAATCAAATTTCATCATAATTTAGGCCAAAATCTATTCTGCTACATATCTTTGCTAAAAGAAAATCCCAATACGTGTAAAATAATTGTTTTACGTGAAAGTTATAGAGTTTACAATTGGCGGTATATATATACTGGAATTATTTTTTTGTTTGTTTTTACTAGTATTGGCGGCAATCAGTGACTTATAGAAGGACTGCGGCAGGCATTCTGACACTGGGGGGATCCGACTTGGTGTCACTGACATCCCCAGTGACACAAATACAGTGATCAGTGCTAATAAAAATAACATGTGGGGCAATCAAAGGGATAACTGTGTGCTGTTTTGCTATGTGTTGTTTGTATGCTTTACGCTGTAAGCACTCTGCTTTGTATGGCTCTGCTATGCAGTGCCAAACAAAGCAGTGTGCAGGAGCTGACAGGGGAGAGGTCTTTGTTGTTTATACACAAGTCTCTCCCTCATCTGTAATACTCGGCGATTGCCGGGTGCCGGTGGGAAATCACCGGCCAGGACCCGGTGATTGACAGCAGAGTCTGCAAATGGTGGCGCGGATAGGACGCGCGTGCGCCCTCTACCTGGAACTGCAAAATCACGTACACATATGTGCCGCCCTGTAGCAGTATTTCTGCTATAGGGTGGACGGCAAGCGGTTTTTTAAACAGGGCAATTTACATAAAATGCGCACTTTTTATGTGCGGTAACACTATTTATTTTTAAACTAACACTGCTCAAAAAAAGAGAAAAAGTGTGTTTATTTTAGTTTTGTTATATTTAATTGTTTAGGATTGTGAAAAAATGTCATTGTCGCAAGACAATGTTCACAAAAAGTTATTGTTATCTTAAGTAATGACAAAGTTATTGCTGAATAAACAGGTTCACAGCGGAAATGTAAAAACTGCTCTGGTCCATAATGGGTGAACAGGTGTAATAGCCAAAGTGGTTAAGGAGCAGGGCAGCTGCATCCTTAACAACCGATGGCTCATTTAGCTGTCAGCGGGGTTCTCCTGCTGACAGATGAAGTGTAAACAAAACGGTTGCCGGCGGGTATCGGTAAATGGTATCGGCGAGTACAAAATAAAAGTATTGGTATTTGTACTCACTGTAAAAAAAATGGTATTAGTGCAACCCTAACTCTGATGCTCTGGGTTGGCGGGTCGGCAAGCCCAGATCGTGATCAACAAGTTGCCGACCCCGGGTATGCACTTCCCTGGTTTGAGGTCAAGGGCCACATCAAAGGGCTCCAAGGGCCACAGATTGAGCACTCTTGATTTAAAGCAATAGAGGCTTAGCTTTCCTAGCCTATGAACTGTTACGCAGTGGGCTGATGTCAAGTGAAAATCAGGTACCTAAGTTTGTTCTACCTTAAAATACATTGATTGATTTTTAATGAAGACATACTGTATCCAAATATTAATCATGTTTTAATTTATGCCTGGAGTTTATTTTCAAAAGACCAGCATCAAATGCATGACTTGACGCTCATCTATACAAGCACTTAGAGATTTTTGTTAAATAGAAATGGAACACATCTTAATATTCAGGAGTAGCAGAGAACATCAAATTAATTTGCACAGGAAAAGGCACAAAGAAATATATCGAAATGTCCATAGGCACATTGGTTACTTAAGCATTTCAAGCCAAGTAGAATTAATCTGAGATCATTAAGCATAGTTTGGTGTGAATCTTCCTTACAACTCTGGATTGGAAGAGCATTTTACTTCAGTTATACAGCAGGAACTGCTGAAGACTGGCAGTACCGGAAACCCAGACTGTTTAGGGTCAGCCATGAGGGTGTTGCCATCGATATAATTGCCTTTTATTGCTTTTTATAAGTCCATACAACTTCACTTTATATACAGTATATATACCTTTGCCAGTGTCATATGTTTTATATAAAGAAGTGGTAGAATTGTTTTCTTAATCAAGCTGAACGTTGCAGACTCCATCTTGTTTTTTGCTTTTGGCCGTGCAGGTTTCCCAATTCAGCCCAGCATTTAAGATGGGGGAAAAAGTTCCTTTATGGATTATTTTATCCTGATTCGCACAGTCCCTGTAGAATTGACTGTCCTCTTCGTATGACACGTACTGGTTTCCACCTGTACAACAACCATTCTCTATCCAGAAATAACTTCAACATAGTTGGCAGGATACAGTCCAACTTGGCCACGGTCTGTAACGCCTTTGCACCAACCTTGTTCATCTTCATCTTCGATCTTTGTGAGTTCATCACCTAATTAAGGAAAAAATATAATTAGTGGTGGATGGTAATAAAAAGCCAGTAATGCAAGATCGACGCAATTCGTAGGGACATCGCCACTGCTCAGACTTCCACCCCACCTAGCATCCCTCACTGGAAAACCCTCTCAACACTCCACTCCTTCGACCTCGCTACCACTGAAGAGGTCACTAAGGTCTTCTCTGAAGCTCGCTTTTACCACCTGCCCCCTTGACCCTGTCTCCTCTCCTCACAACTCCTACGATCACCCTCCTCCTCCATCGTACGCTCCCTCACTAACATCTTTAATCGCTCCCTCTCTACTGACACATTCCCCTCCCCTCTGAAGCACGCGCACATCACTCCCATAGTTAAAAAAACCCTCCCTGGATCCCACCAACCTGAACAACCTTAGACCCATCTCCCTGCTGCCATTTACATCCAAACTCCTTGAGCGCTTAGTCTATAATCGCCTGAGTTCCCACCTCACCGACAACAACCTCCTTGATCCCCTGCAGTCTGGCTTCCGTTCCCTACACTCAACCAAAACTGCCCTACTCAAACTCACCAACGACCTGCTAACCAGCAAAGCTAATGGCCACTACTCAGTGCTCCTACTCCTCGACCTTTTCACGGCTTTCGACACGGTGGACCACCCCCTCCTCCTCAAAAAACTATACTCTCTTGGCCTCGGAGACTCCGCTCTCTCCTGGCTCTCTTCCGATCTATCACAGCGCTCCTTCAGTGTTACCTATAACGCTGCCACCTCCCCCTCACTCCCCCTCTCTGTTGGGGTCCCTCAAGGTTCTGTCCTCGGGCCTCTTCTCTTCTCCATCTACACCTCTACACCTCCTCCCTTGGCCAACTGATACACTCCCACGGCTTCAACTACCATCTCTATGCCGATGACACGCAAATCTCTCTACCCCTCGCCTCACCCCTTCAGTCTCCGCCCAAATCACTAGCCTACTGAACTCAAATTAAACCTTTCCAAAACCGAGCTCCTAGTTTTCCCCCCCCAGCCTTCCCCCCGCGCCCCCCCCCGACTTCTCCTCCATCACAACCAACAATGCCACCATCAGTCCCTCCCCTCAAGCCAGAGTACTAGGCGTCATCCTAGACTCCAATCTGTCCTTCCAGCCCCAGGTCCAATTGCTGACAAATTCATGTGGACTCCACCTCCGCAACATCTTCAAAATACGTCCGTTCCTAACCCCAGAACACTACTAAGCAACTTATTCACTCCCTTTTTAAATCACGATTTGACTACTGCAACTCCCTCCTCACCGGCTTACCTCATCACAGGCTATCCCCGCTTCAGTCTATCCTGAATTCTGCAGCCAGACTCATACACCTTACTAACTGCTCTGTATCCACCATCCCCCTCTGCCAATCCTTCCACTGGCTTCCGATTGCCCAACGCATAAAATTCAAATTACAAACATTGACGTACAAAGCTGTTCATAACACTGCCCCAAACTACATCATCGACCTGATATCCATATACCACCCAAAACGTACTCTCCGCTCCTCACAAGACCTCCTACTCTCTAGTTCCCTGGGCTCCTCCTCCCATGCCCGTCTCTAGGACTTCTCCAGGGCTTCCCCCATCCTCTGGAACTCACTACCCCAATCCATCAGACTGTCACCTACCCTCCTCACCTTTAGGCGCACCCTGAAAACACATCTCTTCAGGGAAGCCTACCCCGACCTCACCTAATTGCCGATCTCCTCCACTCTTCCTACTACTCCATCCCCCACAGCTATTTCCTCCTGTACCACTATCCCCTCCCTCCTAGATTGTAAGCTCCAAGGAGCAGGGCCCTTGAACCCTCATGTATTGCACTGTATTGTTACTGTATTGTTACTGTACTGTCTCGTGTACTGTCTCCCATTGTAATGTACAGCGCTGAGCAAACTGTTGGCGCTATAAAAAATATTGTATAATAATAATGTAGAGTTGAAGGAAGGAATATAGACAATAATGTGGCCAGCAAAATATGGTTAGTATCAAAGACGTTCTCCCAAGAACAGCATAGAGGATCTCTATGGTAGATGTTGATGACAGTGTCCTTGAGGCAACAGTGGTGAGACCTACTGTCAGTTGTTGTACAATGTCAAAGGCCAATGAAGAACACCAGCGACCAGTGCACTTCTGGCTTGCACTTCTATGCTATGCAATGAATTTCAGTCCCCTCCTTCTCAAGCCCTTTCAATAAATCAATGGATATTTATACAAAGTTGAGCGATATCATATGCTAATTAGGCAAGTGGGCCGAGTAGTACATTTAATTATGTATATTCAGGACAAATTATATATATATATATATATATATATATATATATACACACACATATATACATATACACAATCACCGGTCACTATACGAGGTACACCTGTTCAATTGCTTGGTAGCACAAATTGATAATCAGCCAGTCACATGGCAACATCTCAATGCATTCAGGAATCTAGACGTGGTGAAGACGACTTGCTGAAGTTCAAACTGAACATCAGAAAGGGGATTTAAGTGACTTTGAACGTGGCATGGTTGTTGGTACCAAATGGGCTGGTCTAAGTATTTCAAAAACTGCTGATCTACTGGGATTTTCACGCACATCCATCTCTAGGGTTTACAGAGCATGGTCCAAAAAATATCTAGTGGGTGGCAGTTGTGTGGATGAAAATACATTATTGATGTCAGAGGTTACAGGAGAATGGGCAGAATCGTTCGAGATGATAGAAAGGGAACAGCGACTCAAATAACCACTTGCTACAACCAAGGTATGCAGAATACCATCTCTGAATGCACAACACGTCGAACCTTGAAGCAGATGGGCTACAGCAGAAGAAAATCTTTTAGCCGCCTCCCAGCCGCCATATAAGGAAATGACGGGCGCAAGGCGGTTCTCTACTTCTGGGAGCACATCATATGACGTCCCTCGGACATAGTGGATCACCAATCAATGGAAAGAGCCGAAGATGTCGGCTCGGTCATGTGATCAGCTGTGTCCAATCACAGCTGATCGCATGTAAATAAGGAAATGCCGGGCATTTCTCTCCTCACGAGCTGTAACACTGACGGCTCGAGAGGAGAGGAGAGCCGGTAATCGGCATTCCTCGGAGGGGACATGTACACTGATCATCAGGGCACTGATGATCAGTGTAGCCCCAGCAGGACCACCTGTCAGTGTACATCAATGCCAGCTGTCAGTGCTCATCAATGCCACCTGTCACTGCCACATCAATGCCACATATCAGTGCCTACCAGTGCACATGAATGCCACATATCAGTGCCCATCTGGGCTGCCTTTCAGTGCCACCTATCAATGCCAGTCAGTGCAACCTATCCAGTGCCGCCTATCAGTGCCAGTCAGTGCCGCCTAACAGTGCCAGTCAGTGCCGCCTAACAGTGCCATATATGAGTGCTGCCTTTCAGTGCCCATCAGTGATGCCTGTCAATGCCTATTAGTGTCACCTACCAGTGCCTCCTCAGTGCCCATCAGTGCCACCTATCAGTGCAGCCTATCAGTGCCCATCCCTGCAGCCTCATTAGCGCACATCAGTGAAGGAGAAAAATCACTTATTTACAAAATTTTATAACAAAAACTAAGAAAAAATGTTTTTTTTTTCAAAATTTTCAGTTGTTTTTGGTTTGTTTAGCAAAAAATAAAAATCCAGAGGTGATTAAATACCACCAAAAGAAAGCTCTGTCTCAAAAAAATCATAAAAATTTAATATGGGTACAGTGTTGAATGACCGCGCAATTGTCATTCAAAGTGCAACAGCGCTGAAAGCTGAAAATTGGCAGGAAGGGGGTATAAGTGCCCTGTAGACAAGTGGTCAACCACATGCCGCCCAGCTACTGTAGAAATACGGTGGCAGGGCGGCACGGCTGGGCAAAACCACCTTTTAAAACGTGTGTTTTCAAAACAGGTAGGGGGTGCGCATGAGGCGCGTCGCCGCCCTACCTGTCCCGCCGATCACGGGCGCGGATGTCAGTCGCCGGGTCACAGCCGGTCGTTACCGGCTATGTCCCGGCGATTAGCGGCAATCACTGACAGAGAGCACAGCTGCAGTAGCTGTGCTTTCTCTCAGTTCCCTGACAGCTCCTGACACGCTGATCGGGACAGAACAGTTTATCTGTCCGGATCAGTGTGTCTCCGTGCAGTACACACCCCCGCCCCCTAGTAAAAACACTCCCCTCACACAGTTACCCTTTCAGTGAATAATAAAGTTTACCCCTTCCTCCCCAGTGCCATTAGTACAGTGTCAGTGTTTTTTTTTTTGCACTGATCACTGTATTGGTGTCACTGGGGATGTCAGTGACCCCCAAGTCAGTTCCCCCCCAGTGTCAGAATGTCCGCCGTAGTCCCCGCAGTCCCGCCATAAGTCGCTGATTGTCGCCAATACTAGTAAAAACGAACAAAAAAATAATTCCAGTATATATACCGCCAATTGTAAACTCTATAACTTTCACGTAAAACTATTTTTTACACGTATTGGGATTTTCTTTTAGCAAAGATAAGTCACTGATCGCCGGTATAAGTCGCTGATCGCCGCCATTATTAGTATAAAAAAAAATTAAAAATCCCAATATCTTTCCCGCCATTTGTAAACGCTATAACGTTCACATAAACCAATAATTTACACGTATTAGGGTTTATTTTAGCAAAGACATGTCACAGAATACATTTTGGCAGAAATTTATGACTAAATTTGATTTTAAATTTTTTTTTACTGGAAATGTTTTATAGCAAAAAGTCCAAAATATTGGTTTTTTTCCTCAAAATTGTCAGCTTTTTTTTTTTTTATAGCGCAAAAAATAAAAAATGCACAGGCGATCAAATACCACCGAGAGAAAGCTCAATTTATGGGAAAAAAAAGGAGGTAAATTTAATTTATGTACCATATTGCATGACCGCGCAATTGTCCGTTAAACTAGCGCAGCGCTGTATAGCAAACAAATGGCGTAGATTGCAGTATCTATACCATAGTTTGTAGACACTATAACTTT